GTTAAATATGGATCATAATACTTACCCTGCTCATCTTTTAGGATTATTGTGCCCTTTCTCAGTTCTTCTGTGTCCTTGCAGGAGTGTTTGGTGGTTTGTTCTGTCCACAGCAACTTAGTTTTGGTTTTCACAGTGGCATGGATTGGTCTAGGAAGTTAGGACTCTACCCAAGACGTTTAATCTGTAAGGGCAGCTTGTCTCCCAGAATGTACAACCTTCTGATATAACCAAGTCTAGAGCCCTTGTCCACAACCCTGGACCCATGCTGCATCCAACAGAGAACCCAGACCTTCCTGGCACCCATTTCAGGCAAAATTCTTTGGTGAGAACCAGGTGGACATAGCTGTGGATGGAGCAGATGTGGCTTCGTGGGCAGCAAGGTGACCATGTCCCATACACTGCATCCTCTTGGCTTCATGGCAGAGAATATCTGCTCAGCTGGTGCTGGTGCCCAATGGAGTGTCTCTTTGTGTCCTGCCCACTCTCATGAGTTTTCCCTTAGAGCACTGCTCTGATAAAAGGTAAATCTATTTTTAAGGATTACTTAAAGCTATATATTTCATGTTTACTCAGATTCTTTACTGTCTGAGGCCATTTAACAGTCTTAGGGAATAGACAAATTGTTTTTGGTATCTGAAAAATAGAGAAAGTTCAAAGACTCATTTTAACAGATGGTCTTATTCCTTTCTTACTCAGCCTTTTGAGGTAACACAAGGCTAGACTCATTTTCCTTCTTCTAGTGATAAATTTCCATCCAGGTACTGAATTTCTCCATCCATCGAAGGAGCTCAAGTCTATGGATATGAATTTTTTCATTTAACATTTTTTTCCAACCAACATTTCTTCAGAATAGTCACCTCTCCCATTATCACTTCTACCTACTTTCTGATAAGGAATCATCTCTTCCTCTGTCCACTCTGTCACATCATTTTCTTCCACTTTCTTAGGACTTCTGGAAGGGAAACTTCCCTTTTCCCATAGGAATCAACTAATTGACTGAGTTTTAAAACTGATGACCACCTCTATAGTAATATAGGTGCCGTCCTGTGACTCTCATCCATGTTGTTCATTTTCATGCAGTAAGAAGACCACATTATGCTTCCTTCTGGCTCACCTAGTCAGGTCTCTTTCCATGTTCTAGCTCCTCTGTCTTGCATTGGTTCAGTGAAACAGGTTTGTGTGGCCAGAGTCAAGATTCATGGATAGAGGCAGGAGGTGGTAGGATAGAGGGGAGCAAGCATACTTGCTCCTTCTCTCAAAACAAACTAGACCCTGGGTTGCCATTCTGGCTTGTTTCCCTGGAATTCTGATGAAGATGGAGTGTCAGCCGTGTTACAACATTCCCTAGGGTGGAGGTAACCCCTGACTGGTGGCTGCTTTACTATCAATGCCTGGTGGGAGGCTGTAGTTTGGGCGCCCCTGAGTATAGGGACACTTGTAACTACGTATGACTTTTGTGGGGAAACTATGTCAAGGTGGATCCTGTATGCACTATTGTGGGTCTCATCTCTTTCTTCATGAACTATCAGCTGGGGGCTGAGAGACTAGCCCTGGACTAGGTTATGGAGTACAGCAAGGACTCACCTGCAGAAGTAATCTGGACTTGCCTTATGGAGGTTGTGGTTCCTGTCCTAAATTCCTCTAAGTGAATCTAGTGCTAAGTGTACTCTCTGGTAGTTCTGTGAGTCTAAGTGTCTAATTGAGCCTAAAAATAAATACACTGCTGGTACATTCCAGGCTCCTCCTGACTGTCCTACCAGGGAGCCCCTAAGAGGCTGATACTTTATAACCACTTATACAGTACTGAGTGTTTTTCCTCAACTGACCAGAACACTGCAGAAGAGAAGTAAATGACTGATACCTGAACTTCACCATTGAAACCACCATCATCACTACTGATTATCATCACCAGTATCAAAATCATCAATGCAACCATCACAAGAATCTGTTTGTGCATTTCAACTACTGTCCGTCATCTTCCACTCTCTTCTTTAGATCACATGTTACTCTCTTTTTGATTCTGTCTCTTAGAATATTCTCCTATGGACAACCTCTCCTAGAAAAACAATGAATTCAGAGTCCTGCTCTGCTGCCTGAGTCAGCCTAGGACAAATCCTTCAGTATCAGTTTCCCCATCTGAAAAATGGGAAGAAAATTATTGCCCCCAGGGAAATGGTCTGACAACTGAATTAGCTCCAGTTATAATCAACAAAATGATAGAGCAGTCTAAACTCTTTAAAGGTGAGCTAGTCTAAATATAAATATGTCTGACTACTTTGGGATGGCACTAAAAGCACTTGGTCCCTAGGCAGCCCCCTCCTGTCCAATGGCTATCTCCAGGCAGTCACTGGCTTGTCAGAGCAGAATGGACAGATCATGGTGTGGCTTTGCATCCTGGGAAATTATGTTTTCTTAAAAGCTTGGAAGGAAGGAAAGCAATATGAAAACTCTCAATATCTAGCTCACTGTGTTTCTTCCAGAAATTGGGTGACTGAGTGCAATATATATATGAAGAGAAAGAAGAGAAAGAATTTGAGAGATAGAAGTGGGTTGGAGGGAGGCAGATGGAGAGGAGCCAAGAAAGAGACAGAGGACGAGATGGTTCTGTGGAGTCCTGCTCAGAGGGAGACACTATGAGCAGGAGGGACCAGGTGCCAGAGGCACGAGCAGAGGTGCTGGGTGGCTCAGAGCCACAGGGAGCAGGTCTGCTTGTGAGGGCTCTTCCTATAAGTGGGCCCAGGTGCACTCAAAGTTGCAGATGGCATCTGCAGATGTTCCATAAGGGACACAGAAGACTCCTGCTTTCTGATGCAAGAAGAGAATGGAAAGAGCACTGGACTGCCAGTCAGGAGACCTTGCTTCTAATCCCAGCTGAGCAATACTGAGCAGATCACTTCCCTTCTCTGAGCCTTAGTTCTCTCAACTTCAAAACAAGAATCATACAGGTTGATCCCATGATCTCTTCTATGTTTCCTTCTCTCAGTCTTCAAATCTATGAAGCCCTGAATGGCAGGTGGTATTTATGCTCCTCTTTCCCTCCCATGCTCCCTCCAGGGGAGGAGGAGTATGCTTCCCTTGCCCACCCCCACACTGATGTTGGTCTCGTTGATGACTTGCATTGGCCCATGGGCTGTGGACAGAGGGGACAGTATGCCAGTATTGAGAAGAAGCTTTGAGAGGCCTTGCAAATTTCCACCAGTCCTCTTGTGCTCTTGTACCTGCCTAGAAAGGTACACCCCAGAAGTCCCTGCCCCTTTACCTGGGCCCCAGCATGAGAAGCCACTCAGAGCGGGCTGGAACCCAATGCACAGTCAGAAGCCAAACCGAGCCAAGCCCAGCTGAGCCACAGCCGTCATGCAGACCCAGCCACAGGAAATAAATGCCTGTCATTGTGAGGCACTGCAATTCTGAAGTTGCCTGTTACTGCAGCCAAAGCTGACTAATACACCACGTGACAGGAAAGCAAGTCTCGTAGAAGGGACCAGTCAAAAGCCTTCCTGAAGGAGAATGAAGGACAGCTGGAGAGGCTCCGCCAGGCCCTCTGCTGCTGCCCCCCCTTCATGCCAGAGCCGTACACCTCCATATGGAGACACACCTGGTTTTTGGCAGCCACCACCCGTGCCTCAACAGGGTAGGAAAGGATTTTGGTAGAGGAGGAACGAAATTAGAATGCTCCAAGTCAAATTCCTCCCCATTCACAGTCCTCTCTTCCACAGTCCTCCAAACCTGGGCAATCTGTCTAGGTGCCATGAAAGGCTGCTTTTAAAAAGGCTCTTGAACTCAGGGCTGAGGCATTCATTTAGCTAGCAGGGAGAGGCAGCAAGATGCTTAGGCAAGTATCAAGTGTCAGCATCACTGGTCTCTGGCTGCCATAATCAGATGCAAATCTCCAGGCCCCTCTGACTCCTAATATTAAAGAGCCCCAAAGAAATTCACATAGCATCTTCTAGCCAAATTCTAGCTAATAGATGTTTTCCTGCCAAACGGAGCAGTGTAGCCTATTTGATATAATATACAAACTAAAGCCCAGAGAACAAAACTGTGGAACTTTAGTGCCATCAGCATCATGGCCTAGGGGGTAACATGAGACTTCCAGGTTAGGATGTATGACCAGTGCTTAACCATGCTTCATGTCACTGAAAGAAAACCGGGATCATGGTCACTTGAATGACAACTCCAGAGTTGAAAACCATAAGCATTTGTTGGGAAGAACAAAAAGACCCGGCCCTCCACCAATCGACCTAACATAATAGAAAAGGAAGGAACACAGATTTGGGAATGGTGTAAGGGAACAGACAGGAATTAAAGTGGAGGGTTTCCAACTTTTTTTCTAAAACACCAAAGATTTATTTAGAACAGAAATATATGTAAATGGATAAAAGTACCGAAACTCAAGGTGAAGCAAGGGCGAAGATTCAGAGGCTGTCTGCCCTGCGTTCCATTGCCCACTCCCAAAATTGGTTCCTGAAGCTATGTGTGGAACATTGGGACTCCATACAATTTGAAAACCACTAGACTAGAGAAATCTGGGGCACTATAATAGGCTTATAGAAAGCTGAAGAAAAGGGGGAAAGGGCAGGTATCGTGATGCTGTTTCTGGGCATTTTGCTGGGAAGGGAATGGAATTAAATGTATAGTCATCCCTTGTCAGGGCTTGGCGACCATGGAGTACACAACAGAGAAGAGGGCCTCCACATCCCGTTTGAGGCGGACAGACTGACAAACTGACCTTTCTCAAGTCTTCTTAGAGGCAAGCCTCCTTATCCTTATCTTCAACTGGGCAAGAATAGATTTGTTTGGGAAAGATTTAGATCTTCTTCCTTTGGCCTGCCTCCTCCCCCACCCCATTGACCCCTCAAATCTAAGGTGCTGGCTCCTCCTGAGTTTACAGGTCTCAAGCTTGGTGCTTCGACCTTTCAGGGGGAGGGATCCTGAGAGATCTGTCTAACTCACCAGCACATGGCTCCTCACTTCCCATAGAGACAGGCCCCCAGACCCACCTATGCACACCACATCCATGAATCCGTACATCCCATAGCAGATCTGGAAGAGGAGATCTTGGCGCTGCCATTTTGCTGAGGGACTGAAGGTTGACCAGATAAGCCAAGAGATACTGGCGATGAGGAAGAGGGAACCCAAGATGGCGGCTGCAATCTGAACCTTCTCAATGACTGTCAGAGAGATGGCTTGCCACTGCAAAGAAGACAAGGATAGGTTAGCTGTTGCTTGGATGCCCTTACCCCATTTCCACCCCATTCCCATCCCTCCTCCTTCTGCTGCCCCAACCTCTTACCTCGGGTTTAGGATTTAATGCAAAACTTCTTAACTTGGAATACAGTGGCTATCGTTACAAGTTTCTGAGTTTTTTAAAAATTTTATTTATTTATTTATTTGACAGAGAGAGACAGCGAGAGCAGAAACACAAGCAGGGGGAGTGGGAGAGGGAGAAGCAGGCTTCCTGCCGAGCAGGGAGCCCCATGAGGGGCTCGATCCCAGGACCCTGGGATCATGACCTGAGCCGAAGGCAGATGCTTAACGACTGAGCCACCCAGGCGTCCCAAGTTTCTGAGTTTTTTGTTGCACTTTTAATATGGAGGAAACTGATACCACACCAAATGGTCAGAAGTTATTGTAGGGAGGGAGTTCTGGGCAGCCATGGCTGGGAAGGGAGGCCTTTATAATTGATTATGATACAGACAGAGAAAGTGAAAGCACAGAGCCAGTGTAGGTGGTATTCTAGGGCCCAGAATATTCTTTTCAGAGCAACATTGTTTATTTTCACACTAATAGGGCACAGGCCTTTCTTTTACTTATTTTCTACAACACCTGACATGTCATTTAATATAAATGCCAGATATTACCAATTCAACAGACAAGGAGAGGACACAGGATGTGGGGGAGAGATAAGAAAAACAGTATAATTTACTGACTATATATGAGCACTGAGATCTCATTTTTTAACAGAAAAAGCACTATGCGGGCACCTGGGTGGCTCAGTTGGTTAAGCGACTGCCTTCGGCTCAGGTCATGATCCTGGAGTCCCGGGATCGAGCCCTGCGTCAGGCTCCCTGCTCAGTGGGGAGCCTGCTTCTCCCTCTTCTCCTCGCTCCTGCTCTCCCTCACTATCTCTGTCTCTCTCAAATAAATAAATAAAATCTTTAAAAAAATTTTTTTTAAATAAAGAAAGAAAACCCTAGGGGCGCCTGGGTGGCTCAGTCGGTTAATCGGCTGCCTTCAGCTCAGGTCATGATCCTGGAGTCCCTGGATCGAGTCCCGCATCGGGCTCCCTGCTCGGCGGGGGGTCTGCTTCTCCCTCTGACCCTCCC